CGGAGGGTTAAAAAATTGCACGTGGTTTCGGAAAGTATGATTCTTTTGCGAATCTATTCATGAAGCAACAGGGATAATTTGTTAGGTCACAGGATTTTACAACACACAGTTATTCACGCACATTGTTTGTAATTGTCTTGTACTGTATATGTTGGCTAATAAAACGTTTTCACTGAAGAAAACGAGCAACCAAGATTGTTTGACCTACATACTTGTGAAAGTATGCAATTAGCACGTTACAAATGAAGGAAAACCTATTGGTTGATAAATTATTCAAGAACAGGTGTCTTGGAAACTGGGCGAACCGATGAAATAGTATCAAGGTTTATCTACAATCATTAATCCGTCCTACTCTTAGTAATTTAACAAAAATATGTTTATACGTGTGTATAATTGTATCTACAGCGTGTCCCAAACTTCAAGCCAAGCTACGAGGACTTAATCTTCAGGCGAAAAGAAGAGAACAAATATTTCATGTATGAAATAAATAAAAAAGAGATGTAACAATTTCACCGTTTGACCATTTAATTGTCACTTGTGGAGAATTTGAAAACAGTTTTTTATTGAAACTCTCGAATCAGTAAAGTTCTCAAGAATTCCGCAGTGTTATTAATTGTAATACTTATCGATGTCGAGCATAAAGCGAAAAAAACAGCTTTGAAGCGAAGAATTCAAAATACTAATCGTAACTTGTGAAATACTAATTTGTAAACTATTAACGATATGAAATTGTTACCATTAATTGACGAATGATGCGTTCAACTTCCTGAGTTGCTACACGCTACCTATTTCATGCATAGAATATTCGTTTCCTTTTCCTTCGTTTTCCTTCACGATTAAGTCCTTTCAATTTTTTTCAACTTGTCAAAGTTACTTTAAGTCACTTATTTACTCGTTCAGAGTCACTTAACTTATTTATTTTAGAAGTTTAGCACACGCTGAGAACCACTGCGCACGAATTGATCAAAATATTTTGTATCCTACGATCGATACGATCAACTGCTACCGAGCTATTTCCCGGCGCCGTTCGACTCGATCACAACGTCAGAATGGCCCCGTCAATTCGTAGCTACTTTGGTAAAACGTTCTGCTTGCTCCTTTTTCTCTGCGCGAACGTTGCCACCTGTTGGAGCACCGACCCGGTCTCAAAGACTTTGGATCAACTCGCGGACACGCAGTTGCCACGTGTTCTACGAAATTCCGAAGATGAATCGTTAATTTGGATGGAATACGAATTCGGCACAGGCGCTGGCAACAGGGAAGGTATCGTACGAAATATTGTTCTACTTGTATTGAATATTTACACGTGAATACTGACAACAGTATTTTCTTTTCGTTGTAGAGCTGATAGTGACAGACATTTCTGTCCGTGAGTATACAAACTTACCAAAAACAGCGACGAGTTGGCAGTTCCTAGATGCAAATGGTATCAGTTATCTATTTCGAGTTGAAGAATCTATCTTCTTCGTTTATAAATTCGATATGCACGCGGCTGTGATCAATGATCCTGTGAGTTTCGGCCTAGAAGGCACTATAATAACGTTTCAAGTGATCGATCTTCATTCGGGACCTGATGCTGTGGCCGTTTTCTGCGTCGAATCGAACGACGGGACGATGTTATCGTGGTACAGGCTGAGAAATGGAAATTCACTTCAGCTCGTTCAATCATGGACAGTACAGAAACGTATAAAATGCATGAAATTCATTCAGCACGAAAAGCCGTATAAAATATTACTGTTAAGCGACAACGAATCAGATTCTGGATTGCAAGATTCGTTCATCGACGTGTATGGATTTGACATCGACTTTTCAATCAATAAATTCAATTTTTGGTGGTTATTTGTTCCTCGTAATCTCGTAATGATTGCCAAGTCCATGTGTTTAACTAGAATTAATCGTTCGATGCAGGTTCTACGATAGATTTTCCATACCGAGAACATTCGACATTCAGATATGCCCCACTGATGAAAACACTTTACTGGCTCTTCAGGGCAGCAATGATATCTCGCTCTATGAATATAAAAATACCGTCGAGGGAAGTATCTTTCAGAATCTACAGACGATAAAATCGTACAACTTGCGGAATTTCGTCTGTTTTGACAGCGGTTACTTTCAATTCTTGTCAACGTCTGGCCCGGAAGCTGGTCTTTTTCACTTTGTAGACGGTGAATTCCAATTCAACGCAGAGTCTGAGCCCGACTTCGGTAAAGAAAAAAAAAAAAAAAAGAAAAGGAGTTCCGCAGAAAATTAAATCAAAGTAAACCTTGCCTTTCTCTTAATAATTAATTAATTAATTGCGTACTGTAGATATTTCAGAAATCTCGTGGGTAACGAACGTGAAATTGGACACGTATCGAGACGAATCATTGTTACTGATCCAACTGAGAAACTCTACGGTAATCGGCCTTGCATGGCGTGGCCTGAGTTTCAAAAGAATCTCGTTGCCTGGAAATGTTCTCGATCAGCTCGATCTCGCCACGATCACGCCACTTTCGAAGCACGGACTCATCTTGGGCAATCGAGTTGTAAAATTTCACGTGCAACTGAAAAATTTGAAACACCCGAGCCAATCCACTACCGAGAGGCTACTGGTCTTGCAGAGTTTGTTAAACGTAAGCAATCGTCTTCGAAATTACGGGTTCAGAGTTCAGAGTTTTGATGAAATACCTGTGTGTGCAGGACACGCTGAATCATCAAGAGAGGATTCTCAACGAAACGGAGGCACGTCTGGAGAAGAGTTACTTAAAAAATCCGGAGATCACAGGTGTTTGGAACATTAGTGTGGCGAACGTTACGAACGCAACTGTATCCGACAACGTGACTTATCATTCGGTCACGATAGGCGGCACGAACTTAACGAAAGAGGATCTGAGAGTCAACGTAAGCGATTTCAGAGGAAGACTGGCCAGCTTAGAGCAGAAACTCGATGAAATCGATTCGAACTTGATGAACACCGTGGAGATCAATCCGCGTTCCCTTTCGCGTGTCAAAATATTTGGAAATATCATTGTTAATGGCGACTTAAATGTGGGAAACTTAACTGCACTGTCCATCAATGACATCAACGAGACAACTGTCGCCGATTTCATCGATAACAGGGATGTAACAGCTCGTACCGTGAACGGTATTCCAATTGAAAATATTCAGTTCGGTGATTCTGTAGTTGACTACAGCGGCGTGGACTTTTATAAAATAAATCGTGCCCAAGTGAATGGGAATCTTTCGTTTTCCATGATTAATGGCATTGATTGGACAATACTGATGAGGGACATTGTGTGGAAAAACAAACGGATGCACATCCCCGGAGAGACTATCATCGAAGGAGTAAGGTTCAATTTTAAACTGTATTTATACGAACAGTATAATCCCTTGACAGAGATGATTCCAATTAAATATTAAATTTTATTGATATATCGTGATATATAATTAAATTTGATACAATTTAATATAATTAAATATTAATATGATCAAATATATTAAATTGCTTCGATTTCAGACGTTGATCTCGGATATTTATACGAACAGTATAATCGCTTGACAGAGATGATTCCAATTAAATATTAAATTTTATTGATATATCGTGATATATAATTAAATTTGATACAATTTAATATAATTAAATATTAATATGATCAAATATATTAAATTGCTTCGATTTCAGACGTTGATCTCGGATATTTATACGAACAGTATAATCCCTTGACAGACATGATTCCAATTAAATATTAAATTAAATATTAAATTCAATTTCATTGATGTATCGTGATATATAATTAAATTTGATACAATTTAATATAATTAAATATTAATATGATCAAATATTAAATTGCTTCGATTTCAGACGTTGATCTCGGATATTTTCAAGCTGGACATCCTCGACAATCTTCTGTATCCAGAAGACTATGTCTTGGAGAATAGCGTTAGTCCCGTGATCGTAACCGGTTCAAAGTCATTTGATTCAATGCTAATATCGCAGTTGGACGATGTAGCTACCATAAATGGCATAGACTTCGAGGATTTCGTAATTCTGCACAAGGACAACATTTTAGAAAAGAGCATCACCTTCGAAAACTTAACGATCGAAGAAGAGTTCTGGGTATATTCTGCTAGTTCAAGCACGTACATAATTTAAGGCTACATATGATCTAAGAACCTTATAGTATTCTACGTCTACAGATAGATGGTGATATACCGGGATTTAATATGGGAAATGTGCTGTTGTTGAATGAAACATCCGCGATTTCACCGGATGTTATGTTTTTCAACTTGAACGTCTTGGGGGACGTCACGTTCGACGCGTTGCTAATGAACAGACGTTTACTGAATTTAGAGGACCTGCTGTTGAAAACCGATGGAAACGTTGCAATCACTGGAACGAAAACATTTTTAAAGAACGTCGGAATGACGTCCAGTGTCACCATCACATCCGGCATGGTCAATGGACATTTCCTGGATGAGTTCGTCACTCTGGACACGGATCAAGATTTTCCATGTACGACTTCAATTTCCTTTTGATCAATAATTAATGTCCGTTTTCACCAGTGCAACGTGTTTCTCACTTGGATTCCAGATTTAACGAAGATACTGTCGAACGTTACTTTTAATAACGTGACATTCGAAGCGGTGAAGAAGTTCGAGGCTTTCCTCCACGAAAACACGAATTCAAGCTTCAACAGACTCGTCATATTTGAGTCGCCAATTACGGTAGATCAGCTGTCCTTCGACAGATTAAACGAGGTTTCGTTTGAAGACTTCGATCAGAGACTAAACGAAACGTTTCGGCACGTTAGCTTCGAGAATTTAACGATCGAAACGTTATTGGCTGAAGAAATAACGCCAAAGGCTATTAATGGTATTGATTTCGATACTTTCGCGAAACGTTTACAGCCTTCGAACGTTGGATCTGTGGAGCAGTTGGAAACCGATCGTTTGAACGTGGCGTTTATCAATGGAATGTCGTTGAACGAGATCAATCTGCTGAATGATAGATTGAATGCAATTTTAGACGGCATTTGTAATGGAAGCGTGACTCTAAACTCGCTTCAAGTGACAGGAATGATCATTACGAATTCAGTTAACGAAGAAGTTCTAACAGATTTGTACAGTAACGATGAAACGAACACCGTGATCTTCAAGTCAGACACTTTCATCAAGAATCTGACGATCTTGGGCTTGACGAATGGCTTCAATTTCTCGGAACGCGTGTTTGACACGATTTTAAAGTCCGATAGAAATATAGCGATCGATGGATATAAAATATTCGACACAATTCTTTGCCATCGACTTGAGACAAGCTTTTTGAACGGACGTCCTGTGGAGAATGTTCTAGATCCTTTCAAAGAACAAGTGTTATCGGGTCCTGTTACCGTGAATGGTTCCACGACAATTCTTGGAAAATTTAATACAACTGGAAGTATCGGTGATATTCCATTTTACAATCTAATAGACAGATTCAACGCCTTAGGGAACAATAGTTACGAGTTACACGGAGACGTTCTTTTCTCGAACAACGTGACTGTAAGAAGTCTTTGTACGACAGGATTGATCCAAGAGAGAAATTTCGACAACTTCTTGGACATGATAATTTTCAACAACGAGGATAATCTGACAATTTCCGGCACGAAAGTGTTTGAAAATTCTGTGATCTTCAATGGCACGTTCGTAGTACGCGACAAATTGGATAACATTGATTTGAAAAGATTCCAACAGAAAGTTATCTTCATCGACCAGCCATTTTCTGTCCAATCAAAACTTACTTTCAAAGATGGTATAAGGATAGAGAAGGATCTTGCAGTTTCGACAAATCTCAAAACAAAGTCCATTATGGGGATCGATGCGAACGATCTGTATGACAATGTCCTGATTCTTGACAAGCCTAATTATGTCGAAGGTAAGCGCAAAATTCCAATTACCTTCGGAGTGCATCTTCAGATGTTGTATTTCGCAAATGTTTCATTTTTCAGGGTTTACCACATTTACTAACGTGAGTTTCGAATCTGATATTCAAATGGAGAAATTCAACGACTTGGACATGAAATTGTTAATACCACTGAACGCTGAACAAATTATAGAAGTCTTGAAATGTCATAATGTTGCTGCAGATAAATTACAAATTTTAGGAAAGGTCAACGATGAAAATCTACAGAAGATTCAAGACAATACTTTCATGGTATACTCCCAATCAATTATTACTTTCAATCAATTATACTTTCAATCAATTATTACAGTATTAAGTGTTTTTGAAAGTTTTATATTTTTATTTCAAAGGAATATATATATATAATATATTATATATATAATATAATACTATATTATATAATAGTCTATATATAAAATAGACTATATATATATATATATATATATATATTACTATAATAGACTATATATATAATAAATATATAAAATACTTTAATATTTAATAATAAATATATTTGATAATAAATATATAAAATACTTTAATAGACTTTATATATATAATAAATAATATTACCTATATAATACTTTAATAGACTTTATATATATAATAAATAATATTACCTATATAATACTTTAATAGACTTTATATATATAATAAATAATAAATAATATTTAATAATAAATATATAAAATACTATAATAGACTATATATATAAAATACTATAATAGACTATATAGTATATATAATACTATAATAGACAAGCGGGATTATTTAGAGATTATCTGAAGTTCATCTGATTAACTGAAAGGTATCTGAATATTACCTATAAGATTATTCAAGTTCATTTGAAAATCATGCCACTGCTATAGGAGATCGTTCCAGGTCTCTCAAAACATCTCGTAATGAAGACAAAATTTATTTACGTGAAGAGTATTTAGTAACGGTTGTACGTTTTCAGATGACTGGGGACCAGAACATATCAGGACATTTCAATTTTCGTGGCCACGTTTATGTCCGAGGGGATTTCGATGCTCGCATTATCAATGATATTGATCCGACGAGTATTATACCATTGAATTCGAAAAGTTCTATAAGCGGTGAGATAAACCGGTTTAGTAGTGTCAATTCAAAAAAACACGATTATCGAGCTATCGCTATAAGAATATTTCAGTGATAGAAATTTGACTTTTGTAATTTGGTTGAAAAGAAATTGTAATTCATGTGACCGCTGTGCTGTATTCTATAAGCAACTCTATTTATTTTGTTTTCACTATCGTTGTGAACATGTTGATAAGATGTGAAGTCGTTTCTTTAATTAAACGAAATAATTGCAACGGTTTACAATTATCGTATAATTTTTCATCGTTATCGTTCAATTACATTCTTGACTGTGTTTGTCCTCCATCAAATTACAAAAAACGAATAACTTGTAATCATGTTTTTTTTTTCTTATTACTTTTTCTGCAGATGAGAAAAATGATTTTTTTTTTTTTTTTTTTGCTTCTCTAGGCAACTTTATATTTGAAAGACCAGTAGTTTTCAATCAAAGTCTTCGAGTCTTAGGCTACTTGAACGGCGTAGATCCATCTCGATGGGAAGCAGTGGCGGTCACAGCCAACAATTTAGTGCCACAGTTTATCTCAGGTAAATGGACCGTGTATGGCAACGTTCACTTCGAGAAAGGAGCATCGGGAAGCGACACGTTAAATCGCATGAATATCACAGAGTTGTCCAACGCTTTGGCCGAAAAACATTTGGAGATGAATGAAGCATTGGCAGAGAAAAGTGTATGGGAATCGTTTTCAATGGATCCTCGAAGCATTAAATTTGTCTGAAAAATTCGTCTAGACGTATGTTTCCTTTTCAGGCGAATCTGGACAGCGTGTGTGAAGATCTGCGGCAGCTGAAACGCTACGCAGAGAAACAAATTTACAAGTTCAATGCGTTCGATTATCTGCAGACCATCGAGTTCGATAGCGGTATAGTCAGCGCTCATTATTTCGAGTTGGATAACTTGGACTACATAATGATAAGCTACGATAGCTGTCACATGCATGTATATTCGTTCAGTGGGATGAAGTTCGAGTTGGTCAACGATATCTCTGATTTTGGAGTGGTTGAACAATGGACCACTTTCGAACACGACGGAGCTTTATATTTTCTCGCTTCGGGGCCAAATTCTTGCGGCAGGAGTCCTGCTAATCTGTGGAAACTGAGCAACAACGAGTTGGTGGTAAGTTTTAACGTTCCGCTCGAAAGTGAAAAGTAATTAAGTACTTTTTTCATTCGTTTTCTATTTCTAGCACGTCTTAGATCTCGGTCATAACGTGGATAGCAAGAGAATCTATCAGGATACGTTTCTCATGTTGATTAAGAGGAAGGAACAGTTCCGATCGTCTGCGAAGGTGAACGAAGTATTACAAAAGTCTCGATCGTCTCCGGCGGACGATGATAATGTTCAAATTATTTTTAACAAGGACAAAATGTTGCTCACCAGTAAGAACGACATCCACAAGTATAAAAACGTTGCTCATTCTACCAACAGAACCGTTAACGTTAGAAATGCAGATATTCTGAATTTCAAAACTGGAATATTCGAGAAGGACATGTTTTTGTACTACGACAAAGAAGTCAGCGAGGATCGCATATTCGTGAGTATCTGAAACGAGCTATGCTCTTCAATGCTCCTCATTCTTGTTATATTATCCGCAGATTTGTAACAATGGCGCAAAATGGAAGAAAATCGTTCAGACGATAAGAGCACATAGGCCAACGTCCTTTGTCATACTTAATTTCGATGGATTGATCGAAACACTGCTTGTCTTCGTTGAAAACGCGAAGAATCTTCGAATTTACGAGTATAGAGGTAATTATTAATTACTAGGTTGCGGATGTTTATATTTTTATGAACACGATCCGAAACATGGAAACATTGATCTATTAAATATTACGGGAACTATGGTATTTTTTCCCGTGAATTTGCATTGTGTCAAACATCCCTTATTCGAGTATTCTAATATCCGAACATTTTATTATTGGAACAAAATTTTTATTAATAATAAATGCCATTCTTTATGCTAAATTATTATTATATATATATATGTATTATTATATGTTTTACCTATTTTTTTTTTTATAATTGCTTCAACTTAGTAAAATATGAGATACTAAATTTTACCTAAAACATTCAAGAAATTATTATTTTTAATTAATAATAAATATACTTTTTCGAAAAATTGAAACAACGAGCAAAAAATGACGAGGATGTGTCTTCTTACGTTGAAACATTTGGGAAAGATTTTTGAAATACAAAAAGATATTTAATAATGTTAAAAAAGAAAATTAGGAAATTCAATAATAATAAAATAAAAGACATAGCATTCTCAATTTTGAAATAAATTGATAATCTTCTTGTATACATACAACTTAATATATATGAGAAAAGTAATTGTTCCATTAATACTTTCGTCTTCTTATTAGCTCGAATATGTTTCTACTGTACTAACAGATCATCTTTCATTTCAATAAAGTGCGAATATTTTTTTTTTTCAGGCATCCAAGGCTTTCTATATAGAGACAGTATAAGAATGAACGCTGATAAATTATTTACCTTCAAAATCAGAAAGCATCCTAATCTAGCAAAACGATACTGTCTAGGTTTAGTTCACGGGAATAGATTAACAATTTTAGAAGCAAAAATGCACGGCGAGAAATTAGATATGGGAGCGTTAATGTGTTGAAAACATTGAAATTATCTGTAAAATAATTAATATTGTATTATAAAATTATTGAGTTAGAATCAATTGGTATTATATTATATTATGTTTACACATTGTATTGTAATTAATTGTATATATGAATAATAAGTACATGATTGTGAAATATGTATAAGACGAATGATACTGTATTTTTGCATCCTCTGTCACGTGTATTGTAAACAGCACTTTGAAACATTGTTCAGTAAATACCCCCGGACCGTTTCGCTTTGTAGAACGCAATGATTTCTTCGTCGATTTCTGGATCCCCTGTCAAGGGCAATGAATCTTCAAACTGCTTTCGATCGAAATCTTCTTTTTCGATTTGCACGTTTAGAGTCAAAGGGCTTTTTGGAGTACACGCATTGAAGCTTAAGAACTTTTGATACACTGGAACCGGATAATCTGCCTCTACGAATGAAGCTTGCTTAGTTACAATTTTCGTCTCAGCACTTTGTAATTCAATAGGATTTTGCTCATTTTGTTGATTCATCGTCGAGTCTATCTGAGTATTGTCTTTCCTTCTGCCATCCTTCTGTTTTTCAGTTTTACGCAAGGATTGTCGATTCGAGTCATTCGTTTTATCAGTTACTTTCTGATCAACTATTTGATCTTGATCCGGGGTTAAATCGCTTAAAGTTAAATTAACAATATTGCAAGGCAATTGCTCTGAGGCTAATGTATCAGAGAGTACAAGAGATTTGTCTTTCAACGTCGAATTGTTATCACTGACATTTACACTGCAGTTAGATTTGATTTGATCGCTGATCTTAGATCTTCGTTTTTGTTTTTTCAATGGTATACGATTGCTTATCGAGTCTTGCACGATTTCTTGATTCTCGTTATCGATACTGTTGGTTGTAAATCTATCGTCACCCGCTTCTGTAAGTCGGTGATTCTTCTTCTTTTCCTTCTTCTTCATTTTCTCGATTAAAAATGCTGTCAAAGAGTTAAGAAATTTTCGAATAAGTAATGCAATAATTAAACAAGAATCCAAGGTATTCTCGACAAAGATACAAAGACGAAATTATAAGAAATAATCACTTTGTTAAAATTCTTAGAGCAGGTTTTCAAAATCATTTTTCGATTCCTCCTTGCCAGTAGAAAGTAACTGATTATTTACTATGAAATCGTTTAAAAGTATTCTTGTGAAAAAGTATATTCATCTGCTTTTTTGTTATTTAAACTCCCAGTTTTCGTGGTATAATCGGATTCTATATATCAAAATATATATCAGAAAACTTTATTTCACATTTTTCTTATTTATCTTCGTACGTAGAATAACTTTCTGTAGATTATTTACTTCTGTTCAATTCAGAATTAATCTAATAATTAATTAATTAATCCAGTTAATCTAATCTAATCTAATATGTATAATACTCGACAAATTTTTAAACTCGACTTTCTCAAAGACGTCAAGTGACAAAATTTTGTTCTATATTTTCGACCCATTAGACGTAGAATCACCTTCATCCTGATTGTGCCACGAAAACTATGGACATACTGTTTAAATTATAATGGCAACGTTCACGAACAGAGCAGCAGCACGTGTTGGAATATTGCAAACATTATGCACAGATTGCAGAATGGATTTGCCATCGTTTTTACAGAAAGGAAAAGAAAATTACGAACAAAACAAACCATCAATATCTTCACCGTTGAACAAACAATAGTAAGAAAAATTAATATAAAAATGAATTTCTAGAGAAAATAGAAAATTACAATTATAATCACTGTAATAACAAAATAGTAATAGGATACAAATTTCCTTGTCTCTTTGTGTCACTAGATCCTTATAATATTCGAGTTTCTTGAGGTAACATTTTTGGCCTTTGCTCGATTCGAAAGCTCGTTTGAAACTTTCGAAACAATAATCCACTTTCTTCGGATTACAGTCCCAAACGACTGGTTCGCCCGATTCTAAAAAGCTTCTGATCTTACAATCGAGAGCTCTTTCATCCTCAGCCGTGAGTTCCTCAGGCGTCTGTTTTTAAAAATATCAAACGAGTTAAAAATCTGTTTGCCAGTTTTCGACCGACTTTCGACTCAAGATTACAGAATTACGATTTGTCTGGTCAAAGCTTTGATTTGCTGCTTAAGCCTCTCGTTCTCCGTTCTCAATAACGCGTTTTCACTTTGAACGTCTGTCTCGAAATTTAGCTTCAAGTAATTCTCAATGAGAGCCACCCTTTGAGCGAACCTACAAGTGGACACCGTTTCCTGGCAATTACAAAACACATCCGGTCAAACAGATATTAAATTACGATAAATGAAATAAGATAATAACTGATGAAGAAGGCGATCGTTACTTCCAAATTAGAAAAGTGTACGCTCATGGTCGCCAACATGACAGTTTGACAATTACCTCCCAAGCTATCTCTCAAAATCGACGTCAACAAGGAATTCCTGAAAATGAGATCTTGCTTAATTACTATGATGATATCCATTTGAAGAGATTCGTACATTGTTGACGTGTAATGAAAAATTATACTGTCGGATATACAAATCGTTGAGTGAATTTAGCACCTGTAAGGAATGTGACCCACGCTCTCCTGACCCAGAGACACTATGACTTGTTCCAAGTAATGTAGGCTCAGGTTAATGTGCTTCGCCTCGGTCAGAATGGTGCCGGTTATCGAGCATTTGTAGACACGTTCGGACCTACGAGGAGATCTCACGTTGAAAAAAATTGTATACCGTTACAAAATTTGCCAGTACGGGCGCAGATGGCAAATGAGAAAGCACGACACGATCATGGTATACGCGGTAGAAAAAAATTATCACCGACAAGTATGTAGGCCGACGTTTAATGCATTCGAGATGTTGGCGTGCAATCGCGGAAAAGTCCATTTCCTCAACATTGTCAGAATACAGACGGAAACCTGCGGAGGGAATTTCAAATTATCGCAGAGATCGTTGGCGTGTATGCGTTTAATCGTACTTTCTCTTGCACGTTTCCTTATTATTTATGAAAATAAACGTACGACATTGTATGAAACCTGTGACAAGAAGTTTTCAATTATATTCGAGAATAGTCTTTGCTTTGCCATGCAGTTTCAAATCGTATATGATTTTTTTTTTTAATCTAAAAAATTCAACATTCTTTACTTAACTGACTTTTTTTTATTAGTTTTTCGTCAAACAAACGTTTCGAATGTTTCATCACCTGCTCCAATACATGTACTGAAAATGATCATTTGATAAATCATTTCACACTTAGAATGTTTTCCTTTATTATAGGAATTTAACTTAAATGAGTCTTCTAAACATTTTAGGGATTTTTCTTTTCTTAGATGTTGAACTTACAAAAAAATCCTGTATCCAAGATTTTTAATATAGCCAACAAGATTATTCAAGACTTTGATCTTGATCTTTTTAATAACTCTAAATCTCAGATTAACTATAAAATGCATAAAGCAATGCGTTCTGCATCGTATGAAATATTATTATTTAATGAGCTTTTCTCGTTAAATAGATAAATAAATAAATAATTTGGAGCTGTACGACAGAGCAAGGAACGAAGCAAAGGAAAATTATGGAGGAAAGAAAGTTTTCCTTTAAATTGTAAAAATTCTACGCCACAATATATTCCACTTGATGAAAAACGTTTTTCCACTTAATATTTTCATTACTTATTCCTCTTAAATAATAAATAATAATTTTTAAAGCTGAACTGGTTGCTCATTCTGCTTTTGATCTTCAATGAATAATAACCGATAAAAAATAAATAACACGTAAGTGATAATAATCGTTCACGTTTGTTTCTCTTTTCCTTTAAATTAGAATTTCCTAATTAAAATTTGTTGGTAAAATGAATTTCTTTTCAACGAGGTTGTCCTTAGGAGCTGTTCAATTCTTGTGCAGCCTCCACAGCTCTTGTATCTTCAGTCGATACAAGAGTGGAGAATTGCATACGAACCCTGCCAGATCGACCAGATGTACTTTCGCTCGCTTGTACTGTTCAGCGCCAAACTGTTTCGCAGAAAGTATGATGGTGAAGATACAATGCGATCTCGAAGACTGGAGATTCATCGGTGTATCGGCGATGACTCTATCAATAATTAGATATTTATATATATATATATATATATATATATATATATATATATATATA